CTGCTTCTCGTTCACGATGGGAACTGCTTTTGGTGTATACATAGCGCAGAACTACAACGTTCCCAATCTTAAGAAGCTCACCAACACTGGTCTCGTCATCGCCAAGCACTACGAGGAGAACTATCGCAAACCAAAGAAGGACGATGTTGATTGATCGATCCCTGGGTTTGCCAATTATCTCATTCGTTTCTTTTATTTCGGAGTTTTATCTCAATTTGATCCGAACTGATTATGGTAGCTAGCTCTGATTAGGGCTTATTGATCTGGTTTCAAAATTGGCTTTGTATACATGCGGAAAAGAGAAAATTGGGGATTTTCATTAATGGATGCGTTGCTACTTTGTTCAGTGATAATCTCCTCTTTTCTTTAATTCAAGGTTAACTAAGGTCTATAAGGAGTTGAATTTCACCTGCAACCTCCCAGAGTAAAGTAATGTTGTGTTTCTGTAGCTTGACCATAATACATTGGTAACTTGTAGATAGGCAAATTAGATTGAATAATGGACTATAATAGCGAATGATCCGTAGCTTCGCCTGCTAATCTCAGCTAGTCAAAGATTCAAAGGAGCTGTGTAAAGTGTTTTGGGGTTCTTTTAATTTAAATGGTTTCTGCAAAGCATTCTCTTGAAGAAGAAGGTGTTTTGCATTCTGAATGTGAAGGTGATAAGAATTCAGAAATGACTCTCTATGAATCGTTTTAGCAGGACTAAACAGAGGACAACACTGAAGCAAAGATATCATAAGGGTGAATTACAGAGCATCCTAAGGCACAAGCCAAGATTCAAGAGCTTTGATTGCATTCTCATCTCTCTTTTTTTCACACATTTTTCTGGGTGACGAAGCATTGAACATGTAATAAGCGTATCAATACATACATATACAACTGTCCGAAATAATTCTTTAGGTAGTAGACTGGAGCTTCCGATTCCCTTGACAAGGTTACGGCTTTTGACAAAAAAACCTCTCGTCTCTGAGCTCTCCAAGGCAAACTCATACCAAAACTGTTTGCCTTTTTCAGAACCTTCCGAGAAAATTCATATTCGATATCTATTGGGCCTTTAATTGTCACATGCCCAGCCCAATGGGCCTTACAGACCGACCACTGGGGGCCTTACAAACAAAAGTCGCCACTTCCCTTCCGAACACCGATCCAGAGAGAGAGAGAGATTTTTCCGGCGTTGAAATTCATTCGGTAATCGATCGAATTCCCCCCTTTTCGATTTTGCCCTGAAGATTTATCGGACTGTGGTAAACCCTAAATTTTGTTGGCGAGA